AGAGAAACCTACGTAAAGCACAAGCTGTCTACTTCGTTGTTTCCTTCGGTAAAGGGCTAATGCAGCGGTGCTTTTCCTTGAGTGCTTGGACCTTGGGAGCTCCACTGACCTCCTCGAACCGTCGTCACCCTGTCGTCCGCTCGCTCGTTGATTACCTTTGGGACCTCCGCTGGATGGACCTCCTCTTCTTCTTTAGGTTTCCCTACCTGTACTCTTAGGAAATGGAACCTTAGGCCGGCGTGTGGCACCGCATTCACATCAGTACGCATATCCATGAGTGTGTGTGTGTGTGTATGTGCGGGTTCATGTGCAGCTTGGAATGAAACCTAATCTTTTGAGGTTCGTAACCTGTCCTTCTACTGCCCCACCCACCTTAGAGTCTCGAAGGCTTCCAGGTTTGGTGGGGTCGTGCAGTAGGTGGCGAGTCTGCGGAACCGACTTGCACTCCTCCTTCGATCTTTGCACGTGAATTGGATTGGAATACCCTCCTCTTCGTTCCTTTGGAAACGTCCTGAAGCGGTCGATTTAGGCCTTTCTGCTTACTTAGGCATCGCCAGGGCTTTTGGCATTCCGTACGTATCTCAAGTGTGTGTGTGTGTGTCCAAAAGTTGTATGATGAATACAGCTCCTCCAAAATTCCAAATATGTGTGCATGTGTTGTGTATGAGATAGGTGTATAGACACACAGCATATAGATATAGATATAAAATACATACATATACAGTCATATACATGCTCGCTCTATATAAATGTGCTTATGGGGTTGTAGTCCGACAAGAGGAAAAGATTGTGTGTAGTGTAGAATCCTTGGGGGGTGGGCAATCGGTATTCAGCATTGGCCCTCTTGCGCACCGTCCAAATTTGGCTCCTACGGCTGGAGGCTTCCAAAACTACTCAAGGCAAATCATCAGTTTGGATGAAATGGATGGCTTGTCGCGAAAGTGTCTCACAAATGTTTGTGTGATGCGATCACGTGATCTTCGGTTCGGATGATAAGACTTGGATTGTACAAGAACTGTCAGCACATACACTATTCTAAGTCGTGTTGGTTCTTGATCGTAGAAATCTACACATACAGTGCGTACATCTTACAATTGGCAAACAGTATCTTCCACCACTTGGGATACCCAAAAAAAAGTATATCGATCTCTTGTCCGTCCAACAGAGTAAGGGATTAGCAAGTGTGGATAAAATCCAAGAAAATGGCCATGTACCTTCGCTTTGAGGCTATTGGCAATGCTTGTCATGCGTGCGCAATCTTCACCATTCTGCTCTACAAAACTTCCAGCCTCAGACAAAGCCTGCCGCAGTTCCGCACTCTCTGCCCTCACCGTTCTGGCTTCCTGACGCTGTTATGTATCGAAAAATCACTGAGGCTTTGTTGTCTCTACGTCTCATACAGTACGCGTCAGGTCTGGACCTTCTTGTGGAAGGCAAAGGCTGTGACTGGTTGGTGGACGGGCAGGTTTTTGGATGGACTATCATCAGTCCTCCTGAAGCAGTGCATCATCACCCAGGGTTCGGATTGACCTTAGAAAAGAAAATACACTTGAGGCCAGAGGGGGTGAACGAAAGCTAGCCGGGCTTCCGGTGGTCTGCTGCTGGTGCTGCTGCTGCTGGTGCTGCTGCTGCCGCTGCTGCGCTGGGCGCTGCTGCGCTGGGTGCTCTGCAGGCGCCGGGTCGTCTGCTGCTGCTGCTGCTGGCGCTGGGTGGTCTGCTGCGGCTGCTGCTGCCGCGGCGTTGGGTATGCTGCTGCTGCTGCTGCTGCCGCCGCTGGGTGGTCTGCTGCTGCTGCTGGTGCTGCTGCTGCTGCTGCTGCCGCTGCTGCGCTGGGCGCTGCAGATGCTTGGTGTGCTGCAGCTGCTTGGTGGTCCCGCTCACCGCGCGCAGGGGGGAGTCGAACCGCGGAGGGGGGGGGGGGGGGCCATAAGATTGATTTAATCAATTATTTGAGGTTTCTGAGGTGCGTCCACCCCGTCACTTAACTTGCTAAAGCAAGAGCAACTCCAGCTAGCTAAGGCTAGCTTTCGTGAAAAGATAAAATAGACACCTAATTACTTAGTATATGGCCTCCAACCTAATAGCGATGGCCTCCAGCGATGGCCTCCAACCTAATAGCCATGGCCTCCAACCTAAGAGCAATGGCCTCCAAACTGATGGCCTCCACGCAAAAGACATCTTGGCTAAAGGCATTGCAGCACAGCAAACACAATGGCTCAAGTTCGAGCACCAGCGCCAGAGACTTTGGCAGCAAGGAAAGTTGTACATAGGCTATACAGGTCTTTGCAGTGGCGATGCTCAAGGTGATTCCTCTAAGGAGTGCACGCACTAGTGGGATCCTGGAATTGGCACATGGGCCATGGCACATGGCGCGAGATCAAGTTGAAGCAATGACATCAATTTCATGGTAAGACCTCGAGAGCCTTGTCCACACCAGGCTTCTTTTGATCAATCTAATGACACCTTTCGCACGCTGTCGCAGCTATCGGCCTGTCCAGCCGCATTGGGAAGCGGAGAAAAGTCCTCACCCGAAAGGACCTGCCGCAGGTGTCGTGCCATCGGGAGGACCAACCAATGCAACTAGCAAACAATTCACGTGCCTGTCGCATGCTGGAGCTCCGGCTGTGGATGGCAGACGGTAGCTGCCTTGGCTCGAAATGCTCCGACTGGCTTGGCTGCGATCTGAGCTGCACTGGAAACTGAGGTGAGTTCGGAAGAGTTCGACTTTTGGTTGCGCTCATTGTTGAAAGTTCGTCCTTAGCAAGGCAGGGATTTGAAAAAGGTGGCACCTCTCAAGATTGCTGAGCTCTCCACCGGGCTTAGATCGGGTTTCACCGGAGACAACTGGTCCTCTGGATGCAGAGAAAGCAAACAAGAAAAAAGCAGCTTGTCAAGTGAATCAGAAATTAGACACTGGAAAGAAAGTATCACTGACCGTCTGAAGAACAAGTTTAAGTGGAACAAAGCACCCAGAACAACTTTTCTGTTTCAACGCCAAACACAAGTACCAGACTCCTCTGGAAGCCGCACGATAAATTGCAAGAGATCGCGAACTTTGATCCTCCCATCAGGCAAGAGCTGCGTCACATGTCTGCAAAACAGAAGGCGAGTGATTTCAACAAGGGTATCTCCCTTGCAAAGGCTCGGGAAAAGTGAAAAGGTATGGCGCATATTGGTTGGCGCCCCCCTTCCGACATGAGCTGTGAACATCTGTGCACTCTGCGATGTCTACCGTGATTCCTGGCATTCTCGTGACCCTCATCTGCAGTCACCTTATCCACTCAGTAAACACCCAAAAGGGAGAAAGGTGAGGGGCCTCCTCTCAACATGTCTTAGAATGAATCTTCTATGGCAAGATTCTTTCCGCAGATTCTAGAGCAACGGATGACCATCCCAAATGTCTGAGAAGCATAGACACGAAGAGCACCTGCCCCGGAGGCCATGCAGCGCACCTATTTTGACCTTCGGAGAAGGAATGGAAGAGCTGCTCCGGAGCAGGGCGACCATAACCACCTCGGGTCAGGCACCCTGGGTGGCTGCAGGGCGCTTCCCAAGGCACAGAGGTGGCTCCCATCCCCAGGCATGGCAACACCCACTCATTATGTTGAGTTTTAAGAAAGTTCCAGCGCAACATCATGGATTGCTTCCGCTGGTCATTTTCCTTGAAAAGAGCGGCAAGGTCAGGCAGAAGGGTTCAAAAACGAATACCCCACACTCATCCCCTGAGTTCCAATACCCTCAGCTCCGGAAAACCTTCTTCTTTCCACCACCGGACCCAGACATCTTTCCCTCCGGGACCCAGAGACCTCTTTGCACCGGAGCACTCCGCCGTAGCGCATGGGCAAATTCATCTTGACTGAGGATCGCCTGGCCCGGCGACGTGTCGCGAAAGATCACGGTGATGCGACCGGCGCGACCGGTCGGGTGACATGACTGGTCGGGTCCGGCCTCAATACCCTCGTCCCCACCAAAGAAGGAGGCAGCCTGATGGACTCACGAAGGGACCCGCATGCAACATATATGTTGCAAGCCAAGACTGCAAGGAATGATGCATGATCAAGTGCTGCTCGGCGTGATCTGGATGGCTGTCCATCTGATTTCAATCTAAAAATGCCTAGGACCTGCCGTACCTTGAAAGATTTGAACGGAAACTAACTGACAAGTCAAGAGTCTACCAGCTCTCCAGGCATCAATCTGACTGCAAGCCTCTTCCATAGAAAGGAACCGTTCATGCATGAAGAGCAAGAGGTGCTCCTAAAGGTACAAAAATCTTAAAGCTCCGCTCTGCCACAAGCCATCTCAAACTCCCTTGGCTTGCAATCCAAATGAACAGCAATGATTGTAGAGTCAATACCTTCCAAAAAGTGAAGGTAAACGATTGAAAAAGCTGTTGATCAAACAGCAGCGGTTTGAAGAGAGACACATTTTGTTGTTGGTCACCACACTTGAGCACCAGAGACTCGACTTCTCATTACCACGAGATTCTCGTTGCTCCCATGCTTCAACATGTGAACGAGCCTTCTCTGCTGGTATGTGACGAGCCTCACGCAGTGATGTATCTCAATCGATTTGTAATGGACAGGATCCAATGTTACTTTCCTACACTGGATAATCATCTCACTATTGATCATCACCAAGAAAAAACAACTAAGAGCAGCAGTGAGCAGCTCCATCCCTGCCTCCATCTTTGGCCAGGGAAGCCCAGCCCGAGACGAGGGAAGGACGGCACCCAATGCTCTTTCTCGAGCCAAGTCAGTGGGGAATGCAAGTGACCAACTGCACTGACCAACACCTCAAGAGCCTATGGTGGGTGATTTTCGCAGGTTGGAGTGCAAGGCCTCCATACCGAAAGGAATCTCCGAAATTCAGACCTACCAACCCAACCCATCATAAACTGCTGGACAGGGTAAAAAAATCACTTAATCAATTGATAACAACTCATGAGATTGCCACCAAAGGTGAGCAACACAGCAAGAAGCGCACCACATCTTCCGCGCTGTTGGTCACCTCAGAAAAGAGTTGTAGCGACTGAAGAGATGTCTGTTCTTGCAAAACCGCTGTGTCTAAGGTCAAGGCCCCTTTTAATCGAACCTTAGGGCGGTTTGTCTTCCACGCTTGAATATGATGTATTGTCTGCACATCATGACCCCCCCCGAAACCCGGACGAGAACGAGGACGGTTCCGTCCACGAAACGGATGTCAAGGGCACGCCTATTTCTGTGGTAGACTTGAGAGCTCTCAAACTTCAAAATGAGATTGGAGAGCTCTGAAAATGGGATAATGATAAGATTGGGATCTCGTGGGGCCCAGACAGGGCTGAAATCATTGAAAAAAAACAAAAATAATCAAAAAATAATCAACTCAAGAACTCAAATCCAAAACAGACACAACAACAAAACTCAAAACAAACTCAAAAACAACTCAAAAACAAACTCGAAAAAAACTCAAAAAAAACTCCAAAACAACTCTCAAAAAAAAACTCAAAAACAACTCAAAAACAATGTTTGAGTACAATTTGAGTCCAATCTGAGTCCAATTTGAGTCCAATCTGAGTCCAATCTGAGTCCAATTTGAGTCCAATCTGAGTCCAATTTGAGTCTCTCATTTGAGTGGCTTTGGAATCTGAGTTTCTGGTCTGAGTTGTTTTTGAGTAGGTTGTTGTTTTTTATTTTTTTCATCTTGACCCCTTGCTGTGTGGGACCCAGGGATCCTAATGATAAGAGGCTCTCTTTGGAAGAAAAAAGCCATCTCTCTGTTTCTGATTTCTAGCCAAGATCCGTGCTGTTAGTGGCTGCTTTGCCAGTGGCGCGAGCAGCAAAAGGCCCTGCGCTGATATACATGTGGCAAGCATTGCAAGGAGTTCTCCAACAGTTCCTTTCACAAGTTCCAAAACTTGAACCATCCAAAACCATCTGAATCCCAGACCGAGATACACAATCTATAAGTAATGTAGCTTGCAGAATGTCAAGCCTCCAGAAAGTAGGTCAAGCACCTGCTCGGCGGGCATGTGTGGACCTGAAAGGGATGAGAGACATCAAGGAATGACAAATTAATTCAAACCTACATGTACAAGCTGCCCTTGCTAGCTTCGCAACTCTCCCAACTAAGCCTGGCGAATCCATCCACGAACCCCAGATGAGGCTTGTGCCAAGCCGCTGCCTCCGATGATCTGACCAGGTCTATACCTAGAAGCTCCGAATTAATGTCAAATGAGGATGAATGAAGCAGCTAGCCAACCAGACTCCAACCGGAGAGCTTCATTTCTGCGTTTGCTTCAGGAGTGCATTGAGGACAGAGCTTCAGCGTGGTACCTCAAACTAAGAATGCCAATGTTTTTTTGGCCAGGGCCAAAACTAAAAGAATTGAGCACTTTGACCATGAAGCAGGAAGTTCACAAAAATGAGATCGAAACCTGTCTCGTCAATACTGATGTCAGAACCTGGGAGCTCTAAAAAACGAAAAGCCCTGTACTCAAACATCTCTGCAGCGAAACCGTTGAACTGTTGCACCACGTACAAGCCAGAAGCTCTACACAAATGTATTATATAAATGAGCTCACAGCTTTGCTTCGGCTGCCTGCCTGTGACCTATGGGTTTCATCTAGCCTGGAATGTTTCAATTACATCTGAGCCTCCAGCCATCGCACAGTTTGTCCAAAAGTCTGACAAAGGAAGCCTGGCACAGTCATCTTGCAGTTGTATTTGATTTGTGTTGTCATGCAGCCTCATAATCTCTCAGACCAGGTTCTTCATCCTGCACAGGCAGCATAATTCTTGCACCACAAAACCATCCAGACTTTAACAATGTCTTGCAAACTTGCCTTAGGACGAATGTCGGAGATCACCACTGGTCGTCCACTAATCGTGGACAAAACCAAGCGCTGCCGCAGGAAATTGCTTCCGCTGTACCTGCCCAGCAATCACCAGAAGATCCCCTGCAAGGGACCTTTCCACTAACGCACCTCAAAGCATTGCCGCTGCCCTTCATGAATCAATGAGTGCATGCGTGTGTTGCGGGGTGGCCCAAACCCAAATGACAGATCTGATATTTTTCTGCACCAAACTAGTGAAAAGTTCAACACTTTCGACATATCGATCTGGGAAAGGCGTGGCTGAAGTGGCTGAAGTACAGTAATGTGAGTAATGTGGCGATTCGCATGTCCAAAAGTTTGACAGCTTGACATTTCTCAAAGCCGACCGCACGCCGCACATCTTGTTCAGTTACATATGTATATATATATATACAAGCTGACAAAGAGCAAATGCTCACCGAAACAAAACGCTTCATGAAGTTTCACATCAAACTATTCTAAAGCCAACAGATCCGTAGTACTGTTACGTAGTTTCCAGAGGACCTCTTGACAAATTTTCACAAATGTTCACACTTCATCTTGCCACCACATTGATCAGGGAGGCCAAAAAACTCTTCGATAAGACGCAATGATCAAAAAGGAAATGGATCAAAGACCACGATCAATGATTTGTCTCTTCCTTATTCCCTACATGACTCAGAATTACAAGTCAGCAAATGGGAAATAGCATGTAAGGTAGAAAATTATATAGCTGCCCAATCTACTGTACAACGTAAAGACTGCTCACACCAATAGCAGCACGTTCACTGCGGAAAAAAAAAAAAAAAAAAACAATCGCCCTACAATTATATGTATTTTTTCATTTACCTTTTGAGACGTCTGCTCCATCTCTGTTTGAATGGTTTTGTCTTGCATGTTGCAGTACTACAACCCTCAACGACCTCCATTACAGTTTTAGAATGACACGATTTCAGTTCGTGAGCGCAGGGGTCAGCTCCACTGCACCTTGCACAGAATGTGCAAAAATATGCACTTTGGATCCCAAACATTTTCAGCAATATTGTTGTGTCAACTCCTTTGAAATCTAATGTCGGTGGAAACATCTGAATGCATATTCCTACATCCTCCACCTGTTTGAAAACAACTTGTGAAGCAAGGAGAGGCAGGACACACAGACCCCTGGACAAGGCGGTGCGACTGGACATGGACACACAATCCCAAAGCCCGAAACAAAACAAAAAAATCCATGGGTCTTTACTGAAAGCGTAGTAATGCGCACAGTTCCCAGAAACCTGAGATTTTACTCAGACCCCTTTTGTTCACTTAATCCTTGGGGGGCGGTGGCACATTCACATAGTACGTCCGCATTTCTCGAGCGTGTGCATGTCTTGGCTGCGCCAAGGGTTGCAGGTTGATTGATTCTCTGAAGCACTGCCCACTGGCTGGTCTCAATTTTTTGTGTGTAATTATGCTTAGTAGCGATGCGCAGCTTCGACCGCAATGCAAGCATCCAGCGAAACCGAATGCAAACACGTACTCGAAAACAAACACCCAAACAACTTTTGACACTTTTGTAGGAGACACTTGTGTGGGACACACTGTTTTCGGAACCTTTGTGGGACACTCTGCACTCTTGTGGGACACCTTGTATGACACTCACTCTTGTGGGACACTCTTGCGGAACACTCTTGTAGGACACTCTTGTGGGACACTCTTGTAGGACATTCTTGTGGGAGACTCTTGCGGGACACTCTTGTGGGACACTCTCGTGGGGAAATCTTGTGGGACACTCTTGTGGGACACTCTTGTATGTCACTCTTGTGGGACACTCTGGTAGGACACTCTTGTGGGACACCCAAATCTCTTGTGGGACACTCTTGTAGGACGCTCTTGTGGGACATCCTTGCAGGACACTCTTGTGGGACACTCTTGGAGGACACTTTTGTTGGGGCACTCTTGTAGGACACTCTTGTAGGACACTCTCGTGGGACACTCTTGCGGGACATGTGTGGGACAGTCTTGTTTGTCACTTTCGTGCGACACTCTTGTAGGACACTCGTTCTTGCGGGGACACTCTTGCGGAACACTCTTGTATGTCACTCTTGTGGGACACTATCGTTGGACACTCTTGTGGGACACCCTTGCGGAAATCTCTTGTAGGACATTCTTGTGGGACACTCTTGCAGGACACTCTTGTATGTCACTCTTGTGGGACACTCCTCAGCAATCTTGTGGAACACTCTTGCGGAAAACTCTTGTCGGACACTTTGTGGGACTCCCTTGTAGGAAACTCTTGTAGGACACTGTTGTCGGACACTCTTGTGGAACACTCTCGTGGGACACTCTTGTAGGACACTCTTGTAGGACATTCTTGTGGGACACTCTTGTGGGACACTCTTGTGAGACTTGCGGAACTCTCTTGTAGGACACTCTCGCGGGACTCTTGCGGTGCTGATTATCGTCATCGGCTGCTTGCCATGGCAAGGCCACCGGAAAATCCTACGAATGCGTCCCTGGGTGGTTCCCTGTTTACTCCTCTAATTGGGGTTCCAATGGAAAACTCCTTGGATCTGGCCATTGTTTGGGCTCTCTATGGCACTTATATGTGCAAAACATTCTGGCCCTGCCCGGCCATGCCCTGCACCGTCGATGCGTCCTTAAGCAAGGAGAACATCAAGTGGCCCAAGAGAGCCCACCCTGGTGCTCTGACGACAGCAGGACAGGAGCGCACACCTTGGCTCACTAGTTGGGCCCGTGCCACTTTTGAACAAGGATGCCTCTCTGTGTTGCCGCACCTGGAAGGCTCGTGCAAAGCCCTGTCACTCCCAGGTGAGCACCTTTTTCAGGCCAGTCGAATACTTCCCAATCGTATGCGACCAGCAATTTTCCATGCGTTTGGCCGAGCCAAAACTGACGCTCAGAAGCTTCTTGACCAATTAGCGCATCAAGGCTGGGAGACTTTACCCATTGCCATTCTAGGATTTCTTTTTTGCACGGGTCGAGGCGCTGTGTGTGCAGAGGACGCACAAGTCACCTTAGGCTAGTAAAAGAGAGAGATACGAACCAAGCGGCAAACCGAAACCAGAACAACAAAACCCAAACCAACAAACCCAACCCACCCAAAAGGAGCAAGGTTCGTACCTCAAGTTGGCTGCGTCAGCCAGTAGAAAAGAGTGAAACCAAGTGAGACATAGGGGCAATGAATTCAGCCTTTGCACTCAGTACTTCACCATCCGGGCATTATCCTTTTTCTACTCAAAGAGGCTGTGAGATTCGAGCGCTTTCGAGATCTGTTGCATTCTTCGTGCGATGATGTGCGATGAGTTTTTCAGCTTTGCAGCCAAAGTTCCTTACTTCAAATGAGGCTTCATCGCTCAGAACACGGTGTCGCAGGGCATGGATGAGCAGTGCAAAATCCGAAAACCGAGACAGGTCAGAACACCATTCTCAACCTCACCATTGTCACCATAATCACGAGGAAAGGCCGAGGAGATTGCCTGAGCAGGTTGCGAGGCACTTGCGGCTCAGGGAAAACAACTGAGCCAGCTGTCGAAGTGGCCACCCTGGCTGCACATGATTTCACTTGGGTTGGGCCCGCAGCCTGTGAGCATTGTCAACAGCTTCAGATAGTTGACCTGTCCCGAACGGACATTATCGGAATACTGGGATCTACCTTTGCTACTGCTCGCATCTGCAGCAGCTTAGCCTCTCCAGCAACTTGCGAAGAATAGAGCAAGAAGCATTCCTCCAGTGCGCCTCACTACGAGAGGTCTGCATCCCATCAACCTTGCTATACATTGCTCGGCGTGCTTTTGCTGGTTGCACACAGCTTCGCACATTCTACAAAACTGGGAAAAGCACGACTTGGAGGGGGACATACGCTCGGGTCAATGCTTTCGATAAATGCGAGCAATTTGCCAAGCCTACCTGGCTTCGTTTCCTACCACCAAATGCCAAAGACAAGTGGAGGGACGACTTCACTGAAGCAGTGTGCTAGGAGTGACAGCTGTCTAGGCATACTGCATTCGCGTAGAGTGTCCTTCTTCGGCTGCTCGAGTGAAAGCCAACCCTGGTTACGCAAATAGGGTCAGCATCTCGTCGTCATCGCCTGCAGTTTTGTGAGCCCACCGGGATGAGAGCCTTAGCTCCTTGTCCCTGGTTGGCGGGCAGTAGCAGTGCGGTTGATGGAAGGCGCCCAGGGAGAACCTTAGTTGCTCGTCTGCGGCAGCCAAACCACAGCCAATCTTGTACAAAGATGGCATAAGTACCATGCTAGGAGGTCTCTGTTTCACCTGTTTCACACGGGCCTTGCATGTCGTTGAGTAGTGTCTTCTCAGCACACTACCTGAAGGATCAATAACCATTTGGCACATGCGTGGGTGCCATTGGGCGTGTGTTGTGCCTCCCTTGCGGGAGGGACATCAGCACTTTGTCAGCAGTCCGTTTTCGTTGCGATGGCTTCTTCTGCCACACACAAGAATAGCCTCTGCTCTTCATTTGTGCAAGCAGTTGTATAGCTTGTGCCATGGAGAGGGAATTTTCCACGGCTTGATTCGCCTTGCAACCGATGACTCACTGGGCACGTGTCATAGTCACTGCTGACATTGCTCACGGCACTTCGTAGGAAGATGCAAAATTTCGAGTGCCAACCACCGTTGGCTAGGGCGACTATACCCCTGGCAATTGACTGAGGCCACCTTTTGATTGGCTCTTTCCGAGCAACCACCCACGTCCAAATGCCTTTTTGCTTTCGTAGTGAATTCAGGCCCTTAGACAGTTCGCAGTCCATCTTTTCACCATCTTTTCACCCGTCTCACATCCGTACAGAGGAAACACTACTTTCATTGATGGGATGTTCTTGGTGTTGGCCGGCCTTGTGGCTTTGTTGCTTGGTTGTTTTGGTTTGCGTTGGGTGTTTGTTTTGGTTTGTGTTCCTTTCCCATCAATAAGTTATGTTTCCTTTTCTTCAACGATGACCTGGGCACTCCGCCCACATGGCGTCCGCACTCGTGGAAAAAAATGAGTCAGCTGTCGAAGACTACAAATCAACGAGAGCCAGAGACAGTGAAGCCAAGACAGACAGTGTGGTTGTGGGGTGCAAGTAAGCACAGCGCCGGCCGGACAGCGTCTCCCCCCCAGAGGGGGGAGACGGCACTTCAGCAATGCGGCGGTGACTCCAAAACAGCTATGCCAGGGGAGCCACAGAAAGGCAAATGTTGCA